ATACTCAGGGCGCTTTCACACACACTAAATAACACACTGGATTTTATTGTGTGAAATGGCAAAATCCACTTGCAAAAGGTTGCTAAAGTGGACTGAAACTGCATTATTTAGCATGGGCAGGGGGTTGGACTAGACGGTCTGTATGGCCCCTTCCAAATCTATGCTCCTAGGATCTATGTGTGGAAGCGCCCTCAGTGTCATCACAATGACTTCCTTTACCAGTTTCGGATCCTGAGAAAGCGGTTGCCACCCAATCTCATCTCTAAACTGATTGTTTTATTGTTCTCATACGCTTGCACATTTCAAAGGAACACATTTGCTTTATGCCAGAAGTTTATGGCCAGTTTTCCAAAATTATTCCTCCTTGCCAGAAGGCAGTCAGAGCAGAGCCAAAGGCAGAAGGGAAGCAGGGAGGAATGAGGGGGCGCCCGGAGCCACCAGAGCCGAGGCCTCGACTTTTGGCTGACCCTCACAATAGGCACCTTCTGTGTGTAACCTCAGCGAGGCATCCCCAAACAGTATGAGGCCAGCTGTCTTGTGCAAGGCCTGCCAGCCGAAGGCCAAGAACAAATCTTTATTTGATTGGTAACCTGGACAGGCAGCAGAGGAAGGCGTAAAAAAAATGAGTCCATGCCAGAAGCTGGTTGTGAACATGTCATCTGCTGCTGAAGTAATGTATCAAATTTCAGAAGATTTCCTGCAGGACCAGCTGGCTTTGGACCACTATACGCTTTTTTGTTGTTCAGTCGCACAGTCGAGTCCGACTCTTCGCAACCCCATGGATCAGATCACGCCAGGCCCTCCGGTCTTCCACCGTCCTCTGAAGTTGGCTCAATTTCATGTTCGTTGCATCTAAGACACTGTCTAAACATCTCATCCTTTGCCGTCCCCATCTTCTTTGACCTTCAGTCTTTCCCAGCATCAGGGTCTTCTCCAGTGAGTGCTCCCTTCTCATTCGGTGGCCAAAGTAGCTGAGCTTTAGTTTCATTATCTGGCCTCCGAGGGAACAGCTAGTGATAAATTAATTTAAAAATGGATATGGCTAAGGGAGAAATCAGAAATGGACTCTACTGCATGGATTTTCCAGCAGCATTTTACTGAACAGAGATGAAGTTGCCTTATACTGAATCAGTTCATTGAGGTCAGTATTGTCTACTCCAGCAGCAGTTCTCCAGGGTCTCAAGCAGAGAAAGGTCTTTTCACATCACCTCCTGCCCAGCCCTTTTCAACTGGAGATGCTGCCAGGAATTGGACCCGGGACCTTCTGCAGGCAAAGTGCAGACTCTTCCACTGAGCCCAGGCCCCTCACCCCTACAGAAAGGAAGTTCAATAAAATCCTATATACAGCCTCATAAGGACTGTTTTTTTTACAGTGTTTCGGCAATACATGTGTGTGCATGACGGCTTTTCGGTTTCTCTTTTGGAAATGCAACTGAAGTGAGCACATAGCAGAGGTAGTTGTGAATTTCCTGTACTGTGCAGATGGTTGGACTAGGTGACTTTTGAGGACCCTTCCAGCTCTATGGTTCTATGGCACATACCCTTGCAGCTCTTTGGCATATACACAGACCAGATCATTCAAGGAAGAGAGCCAGGTCAAAGGCTGATTTCGCACAAGGAGCTGTGCCGCTGTTGCGCCTCCCTTTGCCCCATTTCCATTGGTCAGTTTCCCACTCGAAGCTGCGCAGTCACATTTTAACCCGCAGCTTCGCCCAATTTCCCCCGCGGTTTTGTGATCCTAAGGAAACAGGATCACGAAGCCGCGGGTCAAAATGCAGCCACGTGGCTTCGAGTGGGAAATTGACCAATGGAAACGAGGCAAAGGGAGGTGCGACAGTAGCGCAGCTCCTTGCGCGAAATCGGCCCAAGTCTTACAGGTGCTGTCACAATACAGTTGGTCAGTCTTTACTGCATCAACAAATAAACCACAGCAACAACACAACAATTGCATCAAAATAAGAACAAGACATTTCCACAAATTTTCATCAAAGAAATTAAGATACATGATAATAATTTAAAATATCCCTAATTAAAACCATGATAATTCACCTTACAATCCAAACGGTAATGACTCAGAATAGCAAGAAGTATGGAGGTCAGCCAAGCTTCCATCAGTGTGCCTGTATCTTTTTGACAATGGCAACGAACCTATTTGGAAAACAATGAATTTATCCCCATCTGCCAAGAATAATACTAGTTTATCCTGCTCTGAACTTAACTGGGAAACGAGATGTGATGCTCCCCAGAAATCTTTTGTGCGCAGTCTTTAATTTTGAACACTGGAACGTGACATGGGATGAATCCTCAATGGGCCTATAGTTACAAGAGCAGACTCTTTTCACTGTGTGGAACCCCAGTGACACAGCCTTCTAACACTGCAAGTGGTAGAATATCTGGGCTCATAATTCATCATAGCAGTAAAGTACACTGGAAGAGTCAAATGAGAAAGAAGTTACAACCTGAGACTTCTGGTTTATGGCGACACGCTGGCGGACACATCTCCCGGACCACTCGGGGATGTGATCTGCGCACCCCCCGGAGCCTTGGCAAAAGGCTCCTAGCCATGGGGCTTTTGAGGGGCGACCTCTTCACCAGCGCGATGCTGGGGAATTGAGGCACTCCTCCACCCTGGCAGCAATGTTCCCTCTAAGCTGTACAGCCTTGTGAGCAAAAATGCTACTTTGTGAGCTACTGGCATTAAAGTTGTGAGCAGACGATTTGACTACTGCATAAAATAGTTTGCTCTGGAGCCACCCTTCCTGAGCAAAGACAAAAATATGTGAGCTGGAGGCTAAAAACCTGTGAGCTAGCTCACACTAACTCAGCTTAGAGGGAACACTGCCTGGCAGTCCTGCCACTGAGTGTCCATATGGATCTAGAGCCACTGACCAGGACAAGCATCGGAGATCGAGCATTTTGAACGTGTGCCGAGTGAGGCCGTATGACCAACAATGAACAGTGAGTCGGGTTAAAGCGAATGCGAGAATTTAAAAAGAAAGCTACATGAACTAAACATCGAAATACTAAGGGGGGACTGGAAGAAAAGTGTTGAAATCTGTTTTGAGAGACTTACCATAAGCATATGGGCATATTTCAGAGACTTTAGCAAGTTTGCATAAAGGTAAACAATCCATAAAGATGGCAGGGAAGAGGGCAGAGAAAGACAAACCAGCAAAAGTGAAACATTGGGAACAGATAGATGGGCTGGAGTGGCACTTCCTTTCTGCTGTCCATTTTGGACTGGGGTTGCCTTTACATAAAGATGCAGCAGCAAAATGAATGGGCATTGAAAGATAAACGCAAATGACATACTGTAAAAATAAGAACAAATTCAAAAACAATGAAATAGACATTATGCCTTACAGCTGCAGCTTTTTACATTAGAAGAGCATTTTGTTAAGACTCCAAAATGAAGCATTCACTTCTCCGGCTGGAACACTGAAGTGTGTAACTATCACTGAAGATGCTCGTGTACAATCATAGCAAAGCAATATCTGCATGTCGGGGGCGATGCTTCCAGCTCCCAGAATGCCCACGCCAGCAACCCTATGGAAATGTCCATTGTGGGAATGTGTGATTAGTTTGGGATACAACTTCCCCCAGTTCAGGGGATGTCCTGCTTAACCCACACAAAAACAGGCTTTGGACCAGGAAACAACAACGGTCCCTTAGAAATGCAGAGTCCTCTTAATGTGGCAATATATGATATGTAGTGGTTCAAAACTTATTTTGGGGTGCAGAGGTTTTGAAAACTCCTCAATATTTGTGGTTGGATGTAAATAAGGAACTAGGAAGTGCAACTAAGGAACTGGGAACCGACTTCAGCCAAGGTGTCCCACATTCATGATGTCCTGTCTTGTAGTACAGGGGTCCCCAAACTTTTTGACCCTTTGGAATTGTAAGTTACTCTATCCAATTTACTCTAAAGTTATGTTCAAACCATAAATAAAAATTAACTCTCTGTTTAACCCTGTGGGCTGGTTGTTTACGGTCTGAAGGAAAGAAATGCACACACCACAAGCTAAGAACGTGCCTTGTACTTAAATAGATATATTAGGCTATGGATCAATGAGGGCAGCATGTGAATGAAGCGGTGTTTGAGTCCTGAGCCCCAATGGCTCTGTGCAGGGTCTGCGTGAAGGCTGATGGCTCACCTTTTGGCATTTGTCACAAGCTTTCCTATAAGCCTCAGCAAGAAAGCAAACAGTTTGAGGAGTAGCTCTGCCTGGTAGCAGGATAGAGTTGTTTACCTCTGGGAGAGGAGGGAGGAGGGTTGCCAGGCGCCCGCGCCCCCCCCCCGCCACCAGCAGGGGAAGAAGAAGAAGAAGAAGAAGGTGTCTCAGAGCGGCTTACAAACTCCCTCCCCACAACAGACACCCTGTGAGGTCGGTGGGGCTGAGAGAGCTCTTTCCAGAACTGTCCTTTAGAGAACAGCTCTGAGAGAACTGTGGCTTGCCCAAGATTATCCAGCAGCTGCAAGTGGAGGAGTGGGGAATCAAACTCGGTTCTCCCAGATTGCAGTCCGCACACTTGACCACTACACCAAACTGGCCTGTTACAGTATGTAGTAAAATTTCACAGCCAAAGGGGAATTTCATAGTCTAACCACTGGACCAAAGTGGTTCATCCGTTTGACTCTGAACGGATTAAACCCTTTATGTTTAACTGGGCCTGACAGCGTGTCTGGTTTACAAGGGGCAACCTAGAGCAAGTAGGTCAAAGTTCATATCCCCACTCTGCCGTGGAAGGTCGCTGGGTGGCCAGGCCCCTTCTCTCAGCCTGACCTGCCACACAGGTTATGGGAAGGAGGGAAGAGCGCCCTGTGCACCACCCTAAGCCTGGGGGAGGAAGGGACAGGCGGGTCGCCGTGTTGGTCTGAAGCAACAGAACAAGGTTTGTTGGTCTTCAAAGTGCCAGTTGACTCAAACTTTATCCAAGAAATAATTACCAGTCGCTGATCATTCCAATGTAAGACTTTTTTTTTATTTTTATTTTTTCAGCTCCAGAAATATTCCAGACATTCTTGGATGGAGGTCCAGGATACTCATACCCTGTAGACTGGTGGTCTTTAGGAATCACAACATATGAATTACTGCGGGGCTGGGTAAATATGTAGCCTTTTTAAAAATCGGGCAACAGCTTCCATGTTTGTAGTCCAGGCATCATGGTTTGCCTGCTATCATACTTATGATTCCATATTTATTGCCAGAATATTAACAATGATACAAGTACAGTATCTTTATCTGCACACCCTGGCAGGTGATGTGCAATTTGGTCCTGAAAGACCATGTTTTTAATAGTGGACTTATATCAAATGCTGCTGTTTGCTACCATTTTACTTTGTTTGGTTCCTCTTTATATTTTGCCACAGAGGCCATATGAAATCCGCTCTGTCACACCAATCGAAGAGATCCTCAGCATGTTCAAAATAGAGCAAGTTCATTACTCCTCTGCTTGGTGCAAGGGCATGGTGGCACTGCTCAAGCAGGTAAGGAGGAAAAGGGGTCCTCTTGGGAGAGACAGAAGGGGCCACCCAGGAGGGCGGAACTGGTGCTGACCAATGCCCCCTCTGAGCTGTGGAGTCTTGTGAGCAAAACTTCCTCTTTGTGAGCTACTGGCATTAAAGTTAGTGAGTGAGCGATTTGGCTGCTGCATAAATTAATTTGCTCTGGAGCCCCATCCTTCCTGAGCTAAGACAAATATGTGTGAGCCGGAGGCTAGAAAACTGTGACCTAGCTCACACGGACTCAGCTTAGAGGGAACGCTGGTGCTGACTCCTCCCCAAGACGCGATCAGGAGGTGCTGGCTGTGCACCAGCAGAAAGGAGGGGGCGCCTTAGAATAAAGTCCGCATAAGGCGGGTTGTGTTAAGAAAAGGTATTCTTAACCCTTAAAGAAATCCATACTGTGATAGGAAAGGCCAGGTGGGCGCTGTAGCTAGCCATCTAACTTGGAAATGGGACATGGGTTGTCCTCTTGGAGGTTGGAGAGAGAGCAGTAAAGGGGAAAGAGGGAACTGGAAGAAAGGAAGTCCCTAAAAATAGCAATCTAGGTAACAGAGAGAGAGAGAGCAGCAGAGCAGACAAGGGAAAGTTGACAGGAGGATCTGACTTGTCCACCTCGCTCGTCCTGCTGAGGCACTACGAGACACTTCACAGTCCTTCACTTCCAACAGTCTGGGCAACCTGAGTCCTTGTTTGTTTGTTTTCTCTGTCCAATAAAATCTATTCTAACAGATATCGAAAAGAAAGCTGTCTTAGGCCCCGGTCACACGGGAGGTTTTGGCCCGGAAGAGGGACGGATCGGGGGCACAGCAAACGGGCGTGATCAAACCGTAACATCTGGGAAGCGCCGTGCACCCGTCCCCGATCCGTCCCTTCAGGCCAGTAACGCAGAGCAAAAAATAACCTGCAAAAGGGAAGGACTTACCTGAAATGCCGCAGCAAGCGCGGCCGTCGGAGCGCTGGAGCGCCCGTCTTCAGGAGCATTGGAGGCTCCCAGCTGAACTGTGCATGTGCACACATGTGCAGCCGGCAGCCTCACGCTCCCTTCCGTGGCTTTCCCCCCCGGCATCTGATCGTGCTGGGGAGCAACTGCGCAGCGGCTCACGGGATCTGTCTGATCCCGCCGCCGCGTATCTCTTTTGGTGCAGCTTTAAAAGGCCGCACTTTGGCCTCATCAATTTCCCCCCCGTGTGGCAGGGGCCTTAGAGCCCACCAGCAGAGACAAGTCACACCTACCTAGATCAGTGCTGTTTCAGCTTCGTGAATGGCAGTGAGAATGAGTCTTTTCATGGATTCTTAAGAGGAGCAGAGCGAAACTCTCTTGTTACCTGTCTGAATAACATGGCTATATTTTATCTCGGCTTTTGTATAGAATACACTTGTCTAGCAAGTTGCAGCTGCAAGACGTACCTCTTGTGGACGGGAGTGACAGATCCCCCCCCCCCCCCCTGCTCCTGGCCATATTGGCCTCCTTGGGAGCCGGACTCCCTGGACCAGCTCACCAGCCGAGCAACTGCTCGGGAAACCAAATCAGCAGCTGACGCTGAGGTTATAGGTATATGTACTTAATACAGCAGAGTTTGCCCAGTCATAGAAACATAACATTGCCTGCAGTAAATAAAACTCCCAATAAGTATATTGCAAAAGTCAAACTTGCATTTCTTCAAGTAGATTCAGTTCACATTCAGGTTGCAGTCAAAAGTAGAGAGAAAAACCTAATCTAAAGAACGCTAATCCCTTTCACAAAAGGCCAGCTGAATCCAGCATCATGTACGTGGAAGTATGAGGATGCCATTTCTACAGGAGGGGCCTGTAGAAATGTGTGAGACCATGAAGGGCCATGAGGCAAGTAGTATAGAACCAAGGGCACAGGACGTGGGGTGGGGTTCAGAGAGCAGTTCCCAGGTTAAGAACAAAGAGAGGCATCCCACTCAAGGAGATAACACTGATACCCACTTAGAGCAACGTAGCCCCCCTTCCCATTGTCCAGTCATGCTCAGTCGCTCACTCCAACAGAGGTGAGAGGAGGCGATGGGTGTCGCTGGTCACCTGTTTCCAAAGAGACCCTATCATATCATGGACTTGCTTGTGGCAGCACCAGATGAGGCACACGCCCCCCCTCTCCAGGTCCAAGGTGGGATGCAGAAACACTGTCTCCGGAGCCCCCCCTGACAACACAGGGGAAAGGCCCCTGGGGCTGCAGAATGGCTTGGCCCGACCCTGCGCGCTCCCAAAGGCCTCCGGTCAGGATCCAAGGGACGATTTATCTCAGCCTCTTTTCTTCTACATTCACTTTAATGCCTGGTCTGCTAAGAAGTATCAGATGGTTCTCTAGGCTCTTAATTCCTACTACCACCTCTAACTGAGTGCCACCGTTTTCAATTGCAGCTCCTCACAAGGGACCCAGAGTGCCGGGTTTCCAGCCTTTCGGATATGCAGAGCTCCCCCTACTTAGCCGATATGAATTGGGATGCTGTTCTTGAGAAATCCCTTGTCCCGGGCTTCATACCAAATGTGAGTCAATGTTCCAGTTCATCGATATGACGGTGCCACTTCCTCTTTCCCGAGATGGTGGGTGAGGGGGACGTATTTTAGAGCTTGGGGGACAACATGAGCCTCTTCTGACAGTGTTTGAAGGAGAGTGTAGCTGGATAGGAAAGGGGCAGTCTAAGAGCCGGGGAGAGACATCGTTCAAATAAACAAATGAGCGTCTACCCTTAGCAAAGGAAGCAAGGGAGAGAGCTTGGGTGAAAGGGAACACTGGCGAACATGGAAACGTCAGTTTCTGACGCACACCAGAAGTGATGTCATGACATCGCTCGGGACTCTCTGGTATTTGGGCAAAAACTCTATGATAAAACCAGCTTCTACTCTAGAGTTTTTGCCCAAATACCAGAGCCTCCCCATATCCCCAGTGACGTGGACATCACTTTCCATGCACTCCGGAAGTGTCATCAATACATCATGGACGATAGAGGCATGAGTTTACTGCCAGTAAGTTCCCCCCACCCGTTGCTAGGGGATGCATGGCAACCCTGTGCTGCAGGCTGTTTTCGTGCAGGCCGGGTTCACCAAAGCCCTCTAATGCCTGCTCAAAAAACACACACACACACAAAGAGATTCATACCAGTGCCAGAAGTTCTCCCGCTCTCCACAGAAAACTGACTCTTTGAGGGCTGCCCTGAATTTCTAGCTTCTTGGTGAATAGTTGTCTGTTCCTGTCTTCACACTTTGTAGTTTTGCTGTTGTTGCTAAATGTTTAGAAATGTTGTAATTCAAAAGCAGGCTGGTAATATCAAGAATATTTCTGTGTGCCCTGACTGGATAGCCCAGGCAAGCCCGATCTCATCAGATCTTAGAAGCTAAGCAGGGCCGACCCGGGCAAGTACTTAGATGGGAGACCTCCAAGGAATACCAGTGCCAGGACACAGAGGCAAGCAATAGCAAGGCACCTCTCTGAAATGTCCAAGCCCCGCTAGGGGTCGCCAGAAGCCAGCCATGACTTCCAGACACACACACACAAAATACTCACCCCCAAAAAAGAATATTTCTGTGCCTTTTATATGATTTTTTTGCATGGCCATCTGCATGAATGCAAACTGGTATCTTTTCTGGTCCTGGTCTACCGATATGTTAGGAGCAAACGCAAGGTAAAAGAGGCAATTGGAACACTTTTGGAAGGAGAAACTCTGGTGGAGGACAGAGAAAAGCACTCGAGCCCATCTAGAGATGGTATAGGACATAACAGGACACCTAAGTGTCCAGTTGACATTGACAGGGAGGTTATGGAGAGGCACCTGGCTGCACTGGACGAGATGGTGTGCACCCAAGAGTGCACTGGGCCAGATGGTGTGCACCCAAGAGTGCTCAAAGAACTTGCAGAGCCTCTGTCCATCATCTTCAAGGCCTCCTGGAGGACTGGGGAGGTGCCACAAGATTGGAGGAGAGCAAATGTTATCCCAATATTTAAGAAAGGGAAGAAGGATGACCCCGGAAACTACAGGCCAGTCAGTCTGACTTCTGTTGCTGGGAAGATATTAGAGCAGATTTTAAAAGGATCGATCTGTAAGCATCTGAAGGACCACTTAGTGATCCGGGGAAGTCAGCATGGGTTTGTCCCCAACAGATCTTGTCAGACCAACCTGGTTTCCTTCTTTGATCGTGAGACAAGCTTACTGGATCGTGGGAACTCTGTTGATGTGATTTACCGGGATTTCAGTAAAGCTTTTGATAAGGTTCCCCGTGACATTCTGATGGGCAAACTGGAAGACTGTGGCCTGGACTATAGGGCAGTTTGGTGGACAGGGAACTGGTTAGAGGACCGCACCCAAAGAGTGGTGGTCAATGGCGTTTCATCAGATAGGAGGGAGGTGTCCAGTGGGGTGCCGCAGGGCTCGGTTTTGAGCCTGGTACTTTTCAATATTTTTATCAGTGATCTGGATGAAGGGGTAGAAGGGCTACTCATTAAATTTGCTCATGATACCAAAATGGGAGGAGCAGCAAACACCCAAGAAGATAGAGTTAAAATTCACCAAGACTTGAATACTCTGTAGAAGTGGGCAGTTGTGAACAGGATGGAATCCAACAGAGATAAATGCACAGTATTACATCTGGGCCACAAAAATGTCAAGCACAAATACTGGATGGGGGATACGTTTCTGGGGAGTAGTGTGTGCGAAAGAGATCTTGGGGGTAAGAGTGGACTGTAAACTAAATATGAGCAGTCAGTGTTATGCAGTGGCAAAAAAGGCAAATCCAGTCTTGGGTTGTATTAAAAGGCCCACCATAGCATCGAAATCACAGGAGGTCATAGCCCCTCTGTATACTGCCTTGGTCAGGCCGCACCTCAAGTATGGTCTGCAGTTCTAGAGGCCTCGCTTCAAAAAGGATGTGGACAAAATTGATAGGGTGCAGAAGAGAGCGACGAGGATGATCAGGGGTCTGAAGACTGAGCCCTACAAGGAAAGGCTAATGTGTAGTTCGGAGAAGAGGAGATTGAGGGGGGGGGACATGATTGCTCTCTTTAAATATTTGAAAGGCTGTCATTTGGAGGAGGGCTGTTCCAGTTGGCAGCAGAGGATAGGACCCAAAGCAACGGGTTTAAATTATATGCAGAAAGGTATCGGCTGGATATTAGGGAAAGCTTTTTCAGTCAGAGTGGTTCAAAGGTGGAATCAGCTGCCCAGGGTGGTGGTTAGCTCCCCTTCACTGACAGCTTTCAGGAAGAGGCTGGGTGAATATTTGTCAGAGATGCTTTAGGCTGGTCCTGCATTGGGCAGGGGGTTGGACTAGATGGTCTGTATGGCCCATTCCGACTCTGTGATTCTATGATCATGAAGGTATCTTTTTGTTTTCTTCTTGTTGTTTGTACAACAAAATGTAAAGACATCTTTTGAAAAAGCCCTCTCTGCCCCCAACAGAAAGGAAGGTTGAATTGTGACCCAACATTTGAACTAGAAGAAATGATTCTAGAATCAAAACCACTTCATAAGAAGAAGAAACGACTCGCTAAGAACAAAGCCAGAAATGACACCAAGAGAGCTACCCACTGGTAAAGGGGGGGTGGGGGAGGGTGGAACATGATCCTTCACTCAAAAAGGAAGGCAGAAAGATTTAGACCATTCAGTTTCATTTTTAACATTGTCAAAGTTGGCCCTGTTCATTCTATATGTATTTCCAGAAACTTCTGTAAATGTTTCAGTTTATCGCAATCATGATTTGACTTCAGGATTTACAAATGCTTGCATCTCAAATTATGAAATTTCTGCTGTCCATTGAAAATGAGCAAATTCACTTTTTTAAAAAGTTCTGAGATCAAGACACAGCTGTCCTTTAAGAAAGTTAGTTAGTCCCATTCCCTGTTACCAAGCTTCGATTGTACTCAGTTGTGCTGCTGCAGCTTTCTGTATGGTTGTCTTAATTTATTTTTATTTCATCATCCTCTTTTTAAAGAACGTACACCTACAGCAGTGCCTGGAAACTGTGAGGAAGGAATTCTTCATATTCAACAGAGAAAAGTAAGTATCATATACCACTGAATTAATTTTTAGATCTCTTGCGCTCTTCCATCTTATTTGTTTAAAATACTTATAAGTTCGGCTCCAATAAGATAAGAGCTGTCCTTGAAAAAGAGCAGTTTCTGTCAAGAGCTCTCTCAGCCCCGCCTACCTCACAGGGTGTCTGTTGTGGGGAGGGGAAGGGAAAGGAGTTTGTTTGTAAGCCGCTCTGAGACACCTTCAGATAGTGAAGGGCGGGGATAAATCCAATCTCCTCCTCCTCTTCTTCTTCTTCTTCTTCTACCTCCCAGGGTGTCTGTTGTGGGGTGGGGAAGGGAAAGGAGTTTGTCAACCGCTTTGAGACACCTTCGGGTAGTGAAGGGCCATGGGGTATAAATCCAATCTCTTCTTCTTGAAAAAGAGTGGTCTCTGTCAAGAGCTCTCTCAGCCCCACCTACCTCACAGGGTGTCTGTTGTGGGGAGGGGGAGGGAAAGGAGTTTGTAAGCCGCTCTGAGACGCCTTTGGGTAGTGAAGGGCGGGGTATAAATCCAATCTCCTTTTCTTGAAAAAGAGAGGTCTCTGTCAAGTTGTGGGGAGGGGAAGGAGTCAGCCTTGGGTAGTGAAGGGCCATGGGGTATAAATCCAATTGTTAGCCGAATTGCTTTATTTACAGCAATTGGCAATTTATAAATGGGTCCTTGCCAACTATACCAAGGTCCTGTTCCTACCAAGGGTTACCAAGTGTCTGTATTCTTTTGGGTGGGTATTGGGGCAATAGATCTTCAGCCTCAGGACTGCCTCTCCGTGCATTTTGTTTCTTTCTTAGGCTCAGAAAGGAAGAACAAAGTGGGAAGAAGGATGGCACAGACACCAGAGCAACGTTTCCAACTCATGGCAAACTTCAGGATGGACACAACAACAATGTACTGGGACAGGGCTGCACACGGGGCTGCTGCAGCTAGTTGCAACCGATGCCCACAGACGATTCAATTGCTCAAAGGGCTGGCGGAACCAGCCTCTTTGCGCATGCCCCAAGACTTCTCTCCAACCCTCCTCTCAGCAAAGTTGATTCAAATGTGAAAAGCACAAACCACTGGCCCACCAGTAATCATGCCTGAACAGTGACAACATGTTGATGTTTTACAGTTCCTTCTAGAACAAAAAATTGAAGGAAGCCATTCTGCAGTTGTCACCCAACACGTTGTTCCGTCCAACACCAGTGGAAATATCCTGTCTACATGAATTACAAGAAGCAAATCCATTTTGAAATCTGGACCATTATGCTGCTGTTCAGCACTGTCAAGGCCTTTGTGGCAAAATGGGAACCCACCCTCAGCCCTGAGAGACTAAGCAGCCCATTCTGTGGCTTGCAAGCCCCTGTTTTCGCCTGCCCACCCTGTCTGGTGGGACTATTTCCCTTCCATAGTTGCTGCCACCACTCACTGGATTCACACCACTTTCCTAGAGGGTCAGTGAGACCCCTCTGACTGATTCCTCAACCCAGGAAAGTGAATACCTCAGGAGAGTTGGCGACCCCTCCAGTTTGGACCCGTTTGTGTTCCGTGGCCTCCCTTTGTCTCTGGTAACATGCTGAGTGGTCAAGCCACTACCAGGTCTTATAACTCAAAAAGAAGATTTAAACTATATACAAGGTTAGGCAGAGAAAATAACACAGGCACTTCAACACAACCGGGCAGAAAATAAACAGGATCAAACCGCAATTCCCCTGTCCCTACACTCACCCTCTCTCTACCACTGGAGGTTGTGGGCTCAGGATAAGGTTTGCTTTCCCCCTCCTTGTTGTTGGAGAGAAACTCCAGCCCTCCTCAGGACTGGTCACCAGTACTGCCACCCTCCTGGCTCTCCACCACAATTTAGAGTGGCCAGGATGGCCCACGGAGTCTGAGGTAACAGGAGTCCCACCTGTACACCGCCCCTTGAAGCGGTCATCCAAGGCGGAGGCAAAGGCCAAAACTGCCCAGCTTCCTAGAGGGCAGAAGCCTTTATCTGCCTGGCTCTGCCCCTGGGGTGGGTCCCTACCAGTGTTCCCTCTAAGCTGAGTTAGTGTGAGCTAGCTCACAGTTTTTTAGCCCCCGGCTCACACGTTTTTGTCTCCACTCAGGAAGGAGGCCTCCAGAGCAAACTAATTTATGCAGCAGCCAAATTGCTCGCTCACAACTTTAATGCCAGTAGCTCGCAAAGTAGAATTTTTGCTCACAAGACTCCAGTTTAGAGGGAACACTGGTCCCTACTTTCCTGCACTTTCCCCCCAAAGCTGCTGGGAAACGTAGGCAGGGAAGTATGGCAACTCCATTGTTCCCTATGGCGCACCTCCCCCCCCTCCGGAGGACTACCAGACTGGCAGCCATTTTAAAACAAACTGCTGCCTCTGCCTGGCAGCCATTTCGTTACAGCATTTGTGCCAAGTTCAGAAGCGTCTGTCTATAATGTAAATATTGTGACGTTGTGCCAAAGCAATGGAATGGTCACAGTCCCTTGCCTGGACGCCCTGGGACTGAAAATCTTTTCCTGGGCCACAGTGCTGCTCTATGCCCTGCCGAGCCGGCTACGTTCTCAACATGAGCTGGCCGTAGCCGGCAGTGCAGACGGGCTGAGTGCTGATTGTGCAGAGAAATGTCCAAGTAGCCCCCCAGGGCGTGCAGGTCTCTCACTGGCTGGCTTTTCTCCGAATCAGGAGAATCCATTCTTTTAAGGACAGCAGATGCTTAAATATTAAAGCATGTCCAGTTCCCATGAGTACTATGGTGGTAACAACCCCCCCCCCCCACAAACAAAGCACAGCCCTTGCTTTAAATCCTTTACATGACTATGATTCTTTTGATGTGGCAATAACTGAAATGCCTTCAAAGGACAAGGAGAAGGAGAAATGGATTTATACTCCGCCCTTCACTCGGAGTCTCAGAGCAGCTTACAATCTCCTTCCCTTCCTCCCCCCACAACAGACACCCTGTGAGGTAGGTGGGGTTGGGAGAGCTCTGAGAGACCTGTGACTGACGCAAAGTCACCCAAGCTGTTTCAAGTGAAGGAGTGGGGAATCCAGGTGGGGCATTGGTGGCTCTGCCCCCTTTCTTAAAGGCACAGCCCCACAAGAAAGGACCGCCTTTCCCCACATGTTCCCCCAAGGGCACTACGGTCAGGGAGCCAAAATCTCCTGGATATTCCAGGTCCCAAGACCATCAAACTTGCTGTGACCAGGGCCAGGGCGTTTTCGGTGGCGGCTCCTACCTAGTGGAATGAGCTCCCAGAAGAGATCCGGGCCCTGCATGACCTTGTACAGTTCCGCAGGGCCTGTAAAACGGAGCTCTTCCGCCAGGCTTTCGAGTAGGAGCTGCCGCCACCATTATTCCATCAACGCCTTTCCATCACCGCTGGTGCAGGTATCATCAGGGTTGTGGGACGTCCCTAGTGGACGACAGGGTTGTGGGGACATATATTGCTGTTGTGGTTCAGCTGTAACACCTTCAGAACACCACCTTGGTTTTATGATTCGGAGTGAGTATTGGAGCACCGACATTTTATTTTTTTACTAATTTTAATTAACTGTAGTATTCTGTATTTACTGTATTTATATTGTTTTTATTGTTATAATCTGGCATTTGCCCTTGTTAGCCGCCCTGAGCCTTTGGGGAGGGCGGGATACAAATCCAAAGAATAAATAATAAATAAATAAAGAATTTATCCTGTAAATGCTTTTTCCAATCATTTAAAAACATTTTTTAAAGTCGTGTGCTCCTTTAAGCAGCGTAGTTGACTAATTCCTGCACTGAGCAAGGGGGTTGTAGTAGGTGACCTCTAGGATCCCTTCTAACTCTGTGTCAAGAAACTGATCTCCTTTAAGAGAGTTTTTCTTCCTAAGTGTTAGCTTTCTTGACTATAGAAGTCATCACCCCCACCTGCCAGCTCACTATCAGAATTATTGCTTAGGCTGGCAGAAGTGATTAACTTGCAGCAGCTGGGAACTGTCATCTAAAGTGGTTGACAGCTTGCAATTTAGAGATCTATCCTGGTAACAGCTTTCTATTGGCTTAATGGTTTTTCTTTCTGCACTGAGAACCTCAACCCCACCAGAAAAAGAATTTGCCCCACAAGCCACAAAATCTTGGCTACTGGCCTGGGGAAATCAAACCCAGTTCTCCAGATTAGAGTCTGCCACTCTTAACCACAGCATCAAACTGGCTCTCACTTCCATTGTATGGAATAAAATGTCTTCTTTGTCTCCTAATGACCTTCTGTCTTGTGTCTTTTTTTAATTGTTGTTTTCAGGCTCAGTAGAACATTTGCCTTTTTTTTTTAGCCCCTTCCTTCTGCTTGATAGAATTTAACTTCACACCTAGAAGGGGAGGAATCTAGAAAACATAAGGAACTTCAGAGAATTACAGCCTTGCTTGAAAATGTTCTTAGAAAACAGAATGGGAGGCAACAAACAACTGGTGGACCAGATGCATGCTTCAGGAAAACACACACCGGTGCTCCACCCACTGGCTCATCCATCTTTTACCAGACAAACACTGTACTCAGTCTAGTCACATGACCACCTCACTGTAACACAACCCGCTCATATACACACCAATCCTAACAGCTGCTCTGAGAAATAATTTATACACATGCATTTACTCTCTTACATATGAGCTAATAAAATTATTGTTATGGCACTAGTGCTTGCACCATTTGCAGGAGAGTGTTAGATGACGACGGGAGGACCTGTGTTCAGATCCCTACTCAGCTGCAAAGCAACTGGAGAAGATAACGAGTTGTTGGATATTGCACTGTAGCGATTTACTTCTTGGGTTTTCTTCTCTGGATAGCCACCTAAAGATTCATGGATCCAGCCAGAGGGACTTCAGACCAGCTGCAAACCCCCAACTTGGCCTACTTCACAGTGTTGTTGGAGCAAAAAAAAAAGAGAGAGAAGTATTTATCGAGACTACAGAGATGAGTTCTCCAGGAGATTGGCAACTTCAGAAGGTGAATCAGAGGGCATTACATCCTCACTGAGTTCCCTCCCCAGACTCCACCCCCCAAATATCCAAGATTTTCCTAAACAAGAGTTGTCAACCCTATCTTGACCTCAGTTCTTGGTGAGTTCTGGACCGAATTGAGACATCCAGTATTCGTAGACTCCTTTTTGCTCATAAGCCCTGCTCCTCCGTTTAGTGGGGACACGGCAGGGCTTTTCCGTGCTCTTGTTGCAACCACAGTAGTAGATGGATTGGTTGTATTAGGCTGGCACCTGCACAGGGATTGGGAGTCGCGTGTTTTCTAGTGCGAAGGAAGGAGATGGGGCACAAAACCAGAATCAAAAACCAAAATCAGTCGGCTCCACCTACTGTTGGTTTTGGATCTCTGTTTACCTTACATATAAGGACAGCCTTGGTCCAGCAGGTTTCCAAGCGAGAGACTTTTGGGGAGCACATACGTAGCTTGCACACTACCAATCTTTTATTTTATAGCTTGTGTGCCCCCCCTTTTGATTGTGGGTGGTTGGATGGGGTTCAAAGAGTCTCTAGGAAACGCCAGTGTGGGGACCAAACATTCTTCAGTCCAGAAGGCAGCTGCCTCAGAGCTTTCCCCCCTCCGTTCCCCCCTGGAGATTTGGGGAGCCTGTGAAGGGCCAGGTTTTGGAGATGGGCTGGGGCCTTCAGGTTTTCAAAAGCTTGCTGACAGTCTGGGGACCAGTCCAGTTTACTCCCCCCCTTCATGGCGTCAGGCCCTTCCCTTAGTCTTTAGCAGATTGGTCAAAGGTAGGGACACCTGCACGAAGTTGGGGATGAAGGCGCAATAAAAGTTTGAGAGTCCTAAGAAACTCTGAAGCTGGCACCTGGGTTTTGGAAGCTCCCACCCCAACATGTCCTGGACTTTCTTATGATCTATCCTCACCCCTTGTTGGGTAATCCAATAGCCCAAGAATTCTATCTCAGTCTTATGGAACTCACACTTTGATAGCTTGGCGTACAATTGGTTATCATAGAGAGCCATTAGGACCTCCCTCACCAATTTCACATGTGGTTCCAAGTCTTGGGAATACACCAACATGTCATCCAAATAACAAACTACTCCTTTGAACAAGTGCTTATGGAAGACTTCATTGATGAAGTTCCTTATGGAAGACTTCGTTGATGAAATAACAAACTACTCCTTTGAACAAGTGCTTATGGAAGACTTCGTTGATGAAGTTCATGAACACGCCAGGGGCTCCGGCCAGCCCGAAGGGCATGACCAGATATTCGAATTGTCCAAGAGGGGTGTTAAACGCAGTCTTGTGCTCATCTCCCTCTCAGATTCGAACTTGGAAATAGACATCTTGCAGGTCCAATTTAGTAAAGATTTTCCCCTTGGCAGGCTCCCCCAACAAGTCTTTGATGACGACATTTGACATCAACACCGCATTCAAACCCCTATACTCAGTGCACAATCTGAGCCCTCCGTCCTTCTTTTTCCGGAAAAGGACAGGAGCTGCAAAAGGGGAGGTGGCAGGCCGAATAAACCCACGTTCGAGGTTTTTATCAATGAACCATCGTAATTCCTCCCTCTCGGCAGGGTTCATGGCATACAATTTCCATTTTGGCATTTTATGCCCCTCTAGGATCTCAATGGCACTGTCAGTTTTCCAATGAGGGGGGAGCTCATCGGCCTCTCTTTCTTTGAACACCCTCCCCAAGTCTCGATAGTTCTCGGGGATTGTGTTAAACCCATCCCGAGCCAGACACACTTGTGCGGGTTGTGGCTCCACCCCCCACTCAGGGTTCCACTGATGATCATTACAACGGGGGTCCAAAAACACCATCATGCCACAACTCCACCGTACAGAAGGGTCAATGCCATTCTCTTTCTTGTTTTGGATTAGGACAGGTTGTTGTTGTTCAGTCGCACAGTCGAGTCCGACACTTTGCGACCCCATGGACCAGATCACGCCAGGCCTTCCTGTCTTCCGCCGTCCTCTGAAGTTTGCTCAATTTCATTTTCGTTGCATCTATGACAGTGTCTAACCATCTCATCCTTTGCCGTCCCCATCTTCTTTGACCTTCAGTCTTTCCCTGCATCAGGGTCTTCTCCAGTGAGTGCTCGCTTCTCATTTGGTGGCCAAAGTATTTGAGCTTCAGTTTCATTATCTGGCCTTCCAGGGAACAGTCAGAGTTGATTTCTTTTAGGATTGACTGATTTGATCTTCTTGCAGTCCAAGGGACTCTCGAGAGTCTTCTCCAGCACCATAGTTCAAAAGGACAGAAGGGGAGGACTAATTGCTTCGACCTATGAAAAGTTGAATCGACCTTTGGGACAAAGGTTGGGTGAGTACTAGGACCATCTTGTCATTATGAAAAATGCAGAGCTCTTTATCTACCGAGAGGGCCCAACGTGCTGACATCCTCCTAGCAGATATGATGCCCACCAGGAAGATTGTCTTAAAGGTGAGCTCCTTAAGCTGGCAGGTGACCATGGGCTCAAAGTGGGCCTGAGAGAGAGCTTTCAGAACCATGCTGAGATTCCAGGAGGGAAACTGAAGGGAGCAAGGAGAGTTCAAGAAGGACGTTTCTCTAAGAAATCTCCTGACATGGGGGTGGTGAAAGAAACTCTGCCCCTTCTTGGCCCCTCTGACCATGGATCTGGCAGCTACTTCTCTTTTAAGGGTGCTTGTACTTAAACCCTTATCCAAACCTGACTGGAGAAAGGCTAAGAGGTCACCACCACTTCAGCCCTACAGAGAGCAACCAGGACTGAAAAACCTGCCAAGTACTGTTGTAGGCCCTGTTGGGAAGGGGAGAGTGAAATGCAGATCCCTGACCGGAGGGGGTCAGTGGGCAGCGACAGAGATCCCAGGTCATCATCACCTGTCCACGGCCTCAGGTATGGGCCCTCTGTCTCCCTCCTGCTCCAGCTCAGTGAAGGGTGCTGGGATACTCCCGGTGAACCATCACACAAGCTGCTGCTGTCATTGCCAAGGGATGAAGAAACGTGTGAGAATCAGTCCTTGGGCCTAAAGGATGTTGTGAGTGATGACTCAATAGCCCATCTCTTATTGAAAGCTAAGCTAAAGCTGCTGTTTACAGAAGACAGAGGGAAGAGTAGTGCGGGGGTATCTCCCACTCGTAAGTGTCTACCTGCCTGAGACAAGGACGTTTCCAAACTGGTTTGGCTCGCCAGGAACATGCAAAAGGATCACTTACCCAAAGAATGAAGCAATCTTCATTGTTTTATTAGAAATATTCATTGTATTCTACATCATATGTACAAGGTGCAAAGTAATCTAGGAAAGACATCAGAAATTTTACTGCTAACCAGAACGCCAGAAAGAGCTAAGCAGAAAAACCAGCACCTCTTTGCCAGGTGCGCTAGCAAGTGTCTGACATACTTCACTGCTCTTTTAAGTAAGCCAAAAATGGTGACATGGTTTTCTGGGCTAACATGGCTTTAATTTCTCAGATATGAATGTTTGAGTGTCTTTTGGTGGACTACGGGCCAGGAGCTGTCTGCAGGAGTAGAATAGGTGACTTTCAGTGCTATTGAAGGCTAACATCTTTTACACCACAACAGTGATCCCTTTGTGTTCTAGAACTGAACTGCGTGTTGTACTCTGGAGAAAGGAACGCTGACCTCTGCTTCTGGATATACTGAACCACTTGCTGGGGCCACCAACACTCTCCAGCACGAAATCCCCCTTTCGTCTTTCTGGTGGCAGCGATCCACTTGTGGGGAGGGGGAAGAGCAGGCCCCCAACATCTTAAGGAACACTGTCAAGGAACAAGCTCACTGCTTCCATATCTTGAGAGAACAAATATAATTCTCTGAGTTTCAGGTAACTGTAACGGAGTCCAAAAAGCAAAAGCTTCCTACATCCCTGCTCCAAACACCACATTCGCTCAGCTAATTACCATACAAATGGGGGGAATGGGCTCTATGGCATACTTAATGTAAGAGGTTAATCCTGCCACATTTCACTTATCCATCTTTAGCAAGTCCAACTTCTTTGAATTTAGAAAGCTGCTCTTCTTTTTCTTTGATGAAGAACCCACGGAAAAAGCAGGATCCCGGAAGACAAATATCTTCTCTTTCGTGCCTGAGAGCTCAATGACCTCTGCAGTGCTGGCAGCCTCTGTCTGGAGTTGTTCCGGCAAGCACTCTGGATGGAAGGAGGTGGCCTTTTCCAGAAGGGCCAGCTGTGTCTGCTTCAGCACACTAAATTCAGAAAGGCAAAAGGAGCATTTCAAACATCTGTCATGTGCAGGGTCCGGGAGGGGAATCTACACTACACAAGGCTGAATGTTTGTTATGAGATCTGGCACAGCTTAAGGTGGCTACAGCAGTCAGAATATGGCACTATGATGAACTGGGAGACCTGGGTTCAAATCAGGCCCACAGCCATGGGTTCCCCACAAGGGTGACGCCCCCTCCCCAATCAGCTGGAGCAGGAGGGGTCAGAAGGAGGCCTTCCTGCCTTGTCAGTCAGAAGGAAGTCTCTCTTGGCTGGGAAGTGTGAGGAGGAGGAGGAGGAGTCACTAGTCCTCCCCCCCCCCCGCTTGTATGAGAGGGAGGAAGGGAGTGTGTGTGTGCGTGCGTGTGCACTCTACTGCCTTGGCTGAAGCCAGCACGCACCCGAAGGAGGGGAGAAGGGCAGATCTGGCACAGCCAGAGACAGTGTTCCCTCTAAGCCAGTTTGGTGTAGTGGTTAAGTGTGCGGACTCTAATCTGGGAGAACCGGGTTTGATTCCCCACTCCTCCACTTGCACCTGCTGATGTGACCTTGGGTCAGTCACAAGCTCTGGCACAGCTGTCCTTGAAAAAGAGCAGTTTGTGTCAGAGTTCTCTCAGCCCCACCCACCTCACAGGGTGTCTGTTGTGGGGAGGGGAAGGGAAAGGAGTTTGTAAGCCGCTCTGAGACTCCAAGTGAAGGGCGGGGTATAAATCCAATCTCTTCTCTTCTTCTTCTTCTAAGCTGAGTTAGTGTGAGCTCAGGAAAGGAGGGCTCCAGAGCAAACTAATTTATGCAGTAGCCAAATCACTCGCTCACAACTTTAATGCCAGGAGCTCACAAAGTAGAATTTTTGCTCACAAGACTTTATAGCTTAGAGGGAACATTGGCCAGAGAACTGCTTTGCACACCCTTTCGGGCCAAACAGGGCCCTTGCAGGGGAGTACGAAATCTGTAGTTCTCTAAGGCGGTGGCAGCGCCAGCGCCAAAGTGGGAAGTGGCTTCCCCTTCCTCCAGGTCTCCCCTTCCCAAGGCGGACAGTCCCTGGCTTGGAGTGGCGCTGCTGCCGGCGCTGATCACGCTGGTACCGAATGTGACCCGGTAAAGAAAGATGGCACGGAAGGCAGGGCTAGGGCAAAGAAGGGGGGGTCTGGAGCCCCAGGCACCAGCCAGCTCTTCTCGGGAGGCAGATGAGATTATTTTGAACTGCCCCCTTGTTGCCCCCCTAACAAAACATTCTGTCTACAGGCCGGGCTCAAATCCTCCTCTGTCATAAAGCTCACTGGGGTGACCTGAGCCAGGCACTGGCTCTCAGGCCAATCCGCCTTTACGGGGCTGTTGTGATGGGGAAATGAGGGGGGGGGCCTGTATGCTGCCCGGAGCTCCTTTGGCAGGATAAAAATGGAGATGTGATTCTGAAGATCTGATCTGTCAGCTTCACTGTACTGATAACAGGGTCTCCCTGCAGGACTCCACAAGGGCACGAGTGGGCATGAGACCGGAGTCTTAATATGTAGTTGTCCTCCAACAGTGTACTCTGGAGGGCCAACAACAGGGGACAGAGGCTGAGGCCTTCCCCCGATGCCGCCTCTGGTCACTGGGATTTGGCGTTTGCCGCCTCAGGCTAGGGAGGCTGTCCTCAGTCACCAGGGCTAGTAGCCACGGACGGATGGACGGACCTCTCCTCCACAAATTTTAAAGCCATCTCTGTTTGTGGCCATCACTACACCCACCGGCAGTGAATCCCTCAGCTTCCACATTTCCACACGAGATATGTCCTATGACAGAGGGCACATAATGAAATCCCAGCTTTTGCCCACCCACCCCGCACAAACAGGGGATAAGCTCTTCCAGACCTTCTATCCCTGTCGACAGAATTCATTTTCCCCACGTCGGCCTTTATCGTCTCTTGTTTCAATTTGATTTCTAAGGTTTTCCAGGACTGTTGGTTCCTCCTGAGGGAAAGTCAGAGGAGAGAGACCTGCTTGACACATTCGCAAAGATAAACAGGAAAAGCCTTATTTCCCGAACGATTTTAGTAGCAGCTGGGACCCCTTCGACATGAGCACAAAGTGGCAAGAGTGCGGGTCCCAGACCTCCCTGCCTTCTCCGCTGAGTCCCTCCCCCTTCACGTCCCCCCGGTAGGCTGGAAGGACCGGTGATGTGAAACGGATGCCACAGGCAAAGGGGGAGGGAAGAGACCGGAAGGGACACAGCGCAGCGGCTTGGCTGAGGAGGGGGCCAACGGGACAGGCGGGTTTGTGCTGGACGGCTGGGGGGGGGCAGCGGCAGGACACAGCTGGCAGATGTCTCAACCATGACTTTGCAGGTTGGTGCTGCCCCGACCGGGATGGCCCCGGCTAGCCCCATGTCATCAGAAGGCAAGCAGGGCTGGCCCCGGCTACTATTTGGGTGGGAGGCCTCCCAGGAAAGCCAAGGCTGCTGCAACGAAGCCGGCCATGGCAAGTCCCCTCTGCTCCTCTCCTGCCTTAGGAAACCTTGAGCCAGCGGCCACCGGAGAGCCCTTTCCTCCAGCACCACCCCCAGAGTGACTCTGCCGGTGGACTTCCACCCGGCACTCGGGGTAGACTGTGGACACGGATGAGAGGGAACGGACAGCCAGAGGGCCGCTTCAGGAAACGGAGGGCTGTCCCCCGGCAGAGGCTCACGAGCTCCATTGTCCATGAGGTTTTGTTTTAAGCCCACTTCTTCAAAAACCCCTGAGAAAAGGGCGTACTCGTTCGTCTCCTTGTTCTGTTGCTAACAGCTCTATAGCCACACATTCCTTTAAAGCACCTGGAATTTCCTGCTTAAAACATCACCCAGCCCCCTTTTACCTCTTCTGACAGCTGCTGCCTTCCTCTCCACTGCTGTCTCTCCTGAAGACGGCTTCAGAGTGTTTATTGGCCATCAAGCCCAGGACGGAGAGGAGCTCATTTGGCGAGTGCGTTGGCAAGAGCAAGGGCATGAGTCTCTGCAGTGTTCCCATTGGCACAAGAGTCAACTGGGTTAAACAGGATGCTGACCTGAGCTCCTAGAGGGAAACAGAGGAGGTCATAATTGGAATAAATATTGGGAAACCAAGACGCATTTCGAAAACTGCACAGTGGAGGGAGGCTCTTGACATGAAAACATGGGAAATACAGCCAGGCCTTTTCCACACGGGCGCCTGGACATCCCAGGTTAGCCCGACCTCATCAGATCTTGGAAGCTAAGCAGGGTCGAACCAGCTTGTATTTGGATGGGAGACCAACCAAGAAAGTCCAGGGTCATGACATGGCAGCAGTCAATGGCAAACCACCTCTGAATGTCTCTTGCCTTGAAACCCCTATGGCACCACTGTAAATGGCTGTGACTTGATGGTAACAAACAACAATAGGGCCATACTATAATGAAATGGTTCCGTATACAGCACAGTTTGATTTATGCTCCTACTATGTGATTTCAGATGTCCGCTTCTTTTCAGACTTCTGCAATCCGAACCGTATTGTGTTGTTTATTGGATGTCCGATCCTGTTGATCACATCGACTTACAGTATGCAGATAACTGATG